TTGCCATTAGTGCTGGCGTGAGATGGTAGGGATGATGACTGTTTCCTGTGGCTGTTGTAACAAATTACCACAGTATTAGTGGCTTAAAACAACAGAAATTTATGATCTTACAGTTCTGGAGGTCAGATGTCTGAAATTTGTCTCACTGGGTGAAAATCAAGATGTTAAGAAGGCTTCATTTCCTGCCTTTTCCAGCTTCTAGAGGTGGTCTGCATTCCTTGGCTCATGGCTCCCTTCCATCTTCAATGCAAGAGGTGGTCAAGTCTTTCTTACACCATATTCTTCCGCCTCTTGCTTCCACTTGTAAGCATTCCTGAATCAACTCAATGGTAACTGATTTGTTTTTGGTGACACGGGGCCCACATGGGTAATCTCCCTGTATCTTAAAGTCAGCCCCCTTTCATCTAACATAACATATTTGCAGGTTGAGGGACAGAACACGGACATCTTTGTGTGGGGGGCATTATTCTGCCCACCACAATGGTAATAATACCTGCCTCATAAGGCTGTCTCAAGGATTGAATGAAACAAAGCATATAAACTACTTTAGCACCTGGCACCCATTATCATCTTATGATACTCCTAATTTTATAATTCCTTTTGGCAATTTGGTCCCAGCCACTTTGTAGTCTGCACTTCCTGAGATCTTGTGCTCCTAAAGTCAAGCCCAGTGCTGCTTTCTTTTCCAACTATAAGACTTCCCCAATGTCCTTAAGCTTCCACATCACTAGCCTGGTCTTCCTTGTTAAGATAGAATAGAGCAGTTCCCTCACTGCTCCCCTACCTTCTAGGAGATGAAACAAGCAGCAGGGCCAAGAAAGAGCTCATTACATGCTCTGGCTCTAGTCAGACCTTCAGTTCCAACCTCTCCACCTGCTCTTAGTCTGGCCTAACTAGCATGGCACCCAAACACTCTCAGCTCCATTCTCGTCCATCACACACAGAAGCCTCTCTGCACGTCTCCAATGCCAGCCTCACAGAACTCAATGACTTTGGAGACATGGATAAGGCTTTTTTAAGTGGACTCCATCCTCTCCTAGAACTAGATACTTCTATTGAAGGTGCTCATTCCTACCAACACAGGCCAGCTGGGGTTCCTCTAACACTGTGTCAAGAGGCTGTACTCTACCGATGAACACAGAGCCACCTTCTAAGCAGCTATTCTGATATCACTGGTCATGGGGCCTGCTGGGCCTTTTGTTTTGCCCTAAGTATTATCTTTTATTAAATGTGTTTCTCAGTTTTAATTTATTTTTTTCTTATTATTTCAAAATTGTGTTTAAAACACATGGTCAGGTCAGGCATTAAGTTTCACAACAGGTGCTCGCCACTTGTTTTGGCAGCACTCTCATCCCTGAGGCTGGGAGGCCAAATCCTCCTCAGAACAGGGGCCTCTATCACCACTCCTGGGGACAGAAGAGCCTCAGCGCCAAGGCCTTCCAGAGCAGAACAGCCAGGGGGCCCAGAGGTCACAGAGAGATTTGGGACTTGGCACAAACATTGTGGGGTAAGTAGTGACTAAGACCCCAGGTCTGGTGTGTGTGTGTGTATGTATGAAGGCTCCACACACTCACTTCCACAGTTCCTTTTCAGTCTCTCTTTCTTGGGGACAAGACAAGGCAGATATACCACCTATACACTCAGGCTATTCATTTTTTGGCCCAGAATTTCAATTTCTCCAATGAACCCCTCTAGACTCCTCCATAAACTTCTCCCCTATGTGGGAGGGCAAACTGGAGCCAATAGTCTTGAATACTTGCTGCAGGAATGTACTTCTGTCCTGTTAGTGTGTCGCACAGGCATCTCTGTGCACCGGAAATAGGAATCAGAGATTCCTGGTCATACCACCACCCCTCCCTCTGAGAGGGAACCAGGATCTCCTCTGCTGACTACTGAGAGGGCAGCACTGGCTAATGACTCATCCAAACGTCCCAGGCCATCCTCCATCAAGAGAACTCATTTCTGCTGCACCATGCACAGTGGGGGCAATTCTTCTCTCTAAAGGCTGGGCCACATCCTCCCCTCCCTCAGGCTCCTGACCACAATTTCCTTCTGTCACCTCAGAAATGGCCATCTTCCTTCTGGCTTCCTCCAGGTTCTTTCATCTGCCTAAGAACAGTCCAGCCTGGCCAATAAACCAGAGGGAGGAAGGAAAGTGCCTCCAGCCTTTCATCGTCCCTTTGCACAGGAAAACCAGCTGGCACCTGGGGCACAGACAACTGGCCAGCACCTCAGGCCTGCGGCCTGTAGTTCCCACATAGCTCTCAGATCTCTTTCCTGCCCCAGATTCCAGTTCTCAGATCCGCCGATAAGCTAACAGTCCTTCTTGGCTCCTTCTGAGAACTCTTCAGCAAAACGGCAAGTGACCACATGCCTACCTGACTGTTTATGTTGCTTTTGGGTCCAGGGTGTGCCCGGGAAGGCAGCTTTGCAATGTACTTGGGTAATCCCTTTAATCCAAATCCTTTAACTATATCCTCTCACTACCCAACCATGCCAGGTAATAATGTGACTGTGTTTTCTGACTTTTGTTAGCACCTAGAAGGATGATGGAATACCAGCAATTTGGCCCATTCCTTTGGCTTAGTCATTTATTTTATTTAGGAATTAAAGGCTTTCTATGTTTATTTTATGGTTGATGAGATTACAGACAAAATCATAAATGGAAATAAATGATGAACAGTTAGACTGAAAATGGCATACGTAAGGCTGGGATTCAGTAAGAGCCTCAAATGGAAATAAAAAAACTGTGGTTAAATGACTAAAGCACAATCATTCTAAGGGACAGACAGTGAGAGTAAAGGTGAGAGAGAGATTCAGGACCTTCTATTTAGCTGATGAAAGTTATATAATTTTAACTGAATGCTCTGTACTTAAAATATGCATATACAGTGACTGCAGAACTCTGGTGGTGTAGTGGTTAAGGCATTTGGCTGTTAACCAAAAGGTCTGTAGTTCAAACGCACCAGCTACTCCATGGAAGAAAGATGAGGCAGAAACCCAATGGGGGTCGCTATGAGTCAGAATCCACTCGATGGCACTGAGTTTGGTTTGGTTTGTATAACAATTATTTGAAGAAAGGTCAGTTTGGCTATTCTAGAATCATTGTAATCGCTAATAGATTAGGTTCCTTACCCATAGCAGGGTTTTTGTCTTTTTTTTTTTTTAAATGATACGAACTTCAAGAAGCCAAACCTTTAAAAACTATAACTATTAATGTTATACATGTGGTTGAGTGTCTTTTGCACCATCAAATTGCAGTAATTGTGGGCCTTAATCATTCCATGAGTCTAACTAAAAGACTTGTTAGCCATTTTCATTTTGCATGGATTAGAGAGCATTAGTGGGGACCAGATGGCCTTCTGTGAATCAGAAGATCAAACAAAATGGTCTTTGTAGCAGCCCTCCTTTCCAAGGCGGCATCTCTGACTCACCAGTTCAAGTGAAACCACAACCCAGATCACAGGCTTGTACAGAGGGGCTCCTCGAAAGGGTCACAGGGCTGCAGAATTTGGGAGCATCAGAGGATCCAAAGTTGCCAGAGCTCTGCCCCTGATGCCACCAGACTGAGATGAATGGACTCTGCCATTCAATCTGAGCACGTGGGCAACAATGATTCTGATATTTGTTGTCAAGAGAGTGTTAATATAATATATAACTGTATATTATAACTGTATAATAACCGTATAATATAACCATAATATAAATTTCAACCATAATCATTTTCATTTAATAGCTTTCTCCAACAGCAACTTAGGTTCTGAAGAAGTACGTCGTAGTCCCTATGTCAGCGGGCCCAGGAATCAGTGCAGAGGAAGAATGTGGTAGCAAACCTGTGATTCTACTCTCCTGGACAGTCATCAAAGTCAGCACCAAAACCAAGTTCAGGCACAAGTCTGGAGGGGCAGTTATATACCAGGGCATACCAAGCCACTGCTGTTGAGTCAATTCTGGTTCACTGTTACCCTACAGAATAGAAAAGAACTTCCCCACAAGGTTTCTAATGCTACAAATCTTTATGGAAGCAGATTGCCACATCATTCTTCCACAGAGAGGCTGGGGGGTTTGAACTGCCTACCTTTCAGTTAGTATTTGAGCACTTAACCACTGCGCCACTGGTACTCCTTACCAGAGCAGAAAAAATAAAAACAACAAAGCAAAAAAAGGGGGTGGAAGAAACAAACAGACAAACAAAAAGCCCTGTTTTCCTGGTTCAAGTTTTTAAATCTGAGAACTTTAAAAAGTTCAGTCTGTTGTGGATCTGAAAGTCTCACTAACACCTGAGTTGCTATCAAGGAGTATTACTTTCTATGGACTCCTTTTGGGACTTTATGTGGACTTCCTGTTGGGATAGGGTAGAAATATTTTGTTTGGGGAGGTTACTCGAGATTCTATTCGTATTAAAAGCATGGATTTTCCATGAGGTAGTTCTACTCTGTCACATGGGGTCGCTATGAGTCAAAAATGGACTGGACAGAGCCTAACAACAACAGGGAATTAGCACAATGCTGCCTAGTTAGCCTATCTGATAACACCAAGTTTTTCAAAAATTCCTAGTAAATATTTTTGGTAAGAAGTTAATAAGCATTCTTTGGGGGAGAGGGGATTCCATGATCTAATAACTTGGGGAAATGCTAGGTTAAACAAAATAAAATATCTGTTTTTTTAAAAAATAAACTGTGGGTTTAAATAGTACACTTAGGGGACCACTGAGTTTATGTTAACAGTGGAGGAATAATTTGAAAAAGGAGATTGAGAATGGTTGTACAACTTGAAGGTAATCAATGTCACTGAATTGTAGAAACTGTTGAATTTATGTGTGTTTTGCTATGCATATTTTTAACAACAACAAATAAATTATTTAAAAATAAAGTGTGGGTTTAACTCTGTTGAGGCCTAGCAATTAAAATGGCAGCCCCCCCCCCTCCTCCCTTCCCTGTGCCAGTCCACCCGCCTCCTCAGCAGGAAAGCTGGCAGGGCCACTTCTGTTTGTGTAGTACCTGCCATTCCTGGTATCGTGTTGCCTCATGTTCTTGATAAAATGAATCTTCTTAAAGTTCTTTGGTCTGGGAGAACCTGAGAGAGTTCGACATCTGAAAAACAGAGCCAGTTAAAAAAACAGTTAGTTGCCTGCTGGACAGCTGAGACATCTCCACACAAAGGCAGGAAGGAAAGACCAGACAAATGGTTCGAGTCACCCTAAGGCAGGCAGGAGTCAGCATGAATAAGACAATACGGTGGAGAGTGAGGAAAGTTTAAAAAAAAAAAAAAAAGCCTGATGACAGACAACTTCCTTGATAATACTGAGATATTTTATATGGGTCTTAAGAAGCCAGCTAATGAAAACTATTGTCCCCAGTTACAATAACATAACCTGCACAGATTCCAAATATGTCTTTCTTTATTGTTATCTTAAAAAGAACCATCCTGGGTCAACAAAGACAAGTTGAACTGAAAACTGTAAATTTAAAGGATTTAGGGAGAAAAAAGAGAAATACACACACACACACACACACACACACACGAAAGTTTAATTTAAAAACAACCCTGAGTCATTTTTCTTCAGTAGCAAGATTTTGGCTTGAATTACCTGGACAGTTGCCTCGGCTCTTGGCATGAGTATGCCTGGATAGTCACGGTTTTAATGTGAATGAGAATTGGAGACCTGGGCAGTTTCAAAGATAAATTTTAAATAAGTATTTGTTGAATTAAGTGACTTGGATCCAAACTATTCTTTTTTTCTTTCTTTCCTGGAATATACATTCCCTCGCACCACAGGACTGAGACACCAGACCACAGGCCAAAGAGATCTTACTTGTGTACATTACTTTTAAAAGTTACCTGGTAAATTCTAAGCTACAAAACTTACAAAATATCCTAAAAATACAAAATATCCTAAAAAAGAGCTGAAGTCTGGTCTTTTGAGGCAGGGAGCTGCGCCTTTTCTATCCTAGTTTTGTGCTACCTAAACTTTTTTAGTTAAACCTTTCTGACCATGGGTCCCCAGAGCTGGCTCCTGCCCTCCACTGTGGGTACCTATGCTGATGCTTCAGAAAGTGAGTCCCTGAGGCACTGCCTGGCATCCCAAAGCTGACACTGCGGTTTAGGCTGGGACATCACCCATGTCACTCTGAGCATCAAGGCAAGGCCAGTTCCAAACTTACAGGCTTCAGCTAAATGAGTAACACCACAGCTCAACAAGGAGGCACAGGGAAGAGGAAGCGGGGTGTGGATCATGTTTGGGGACAGGATTAGGGAACAGGCACAGCAACTCCAATCTCAACTTGCCCCCGCGGCTCATTTTAGGGAGGTTAAGCCCAGTACATCCTCCAGCCCCACCCCTAATGGTGCTGCTATCTGTGACCTTTATAAAACATAAAGAGGCCCCAGACACTTCCTGAGGCAGGACCGGGGAGGGTGCAGAGAAGCCTCTCTCCTACTCAGCACTCTCTGTCACCCCCCTCACTTCCCACCAGGATCAGCTCAATCACCCCACCCCACGCCTGCAGTCCCACCAGCAGGGGATTGACCTTCATAGTAAGAGTCCCCCAAAGTGAAGCCACTGGGCTGACAAACCCTCAAAGCCTCTCTGGGATCTCAGAAGAGGATTTTCCCACATTTTCTGAGGAACACATGAAAAGCTGCTGGTGTTTCCAACCATTTCTGAGGAAGACTCCATCTCCAGAGGCCCTCACTGCCACCTCTCACCACAGGCCCTACTGCACACATACTACCTCATCACTGTTAACTATGGCTGCAAAACCAATGACTGTTTCAGGTTTGGCAGCAGTGTAAGGGCAACGCTTCTCATTCCAGTTCCTTCTGTTTCCAAGTTACAGTCTTGCTTTCCCTTGAGAGCAGGGCAAGCACGGGCCTCTGCACAGGGGATACTGCAAACATCATACCACCACGTGTAAACTTAATTCCATTTATTATCATGAAAACCTTATTCCAGTCCCTGCTGGTGTTCCCCTTGAAGGACAGACCATGAAGCAGAAAGGCTATCCATGAACAGTGCTTACAAATGATGACCCCACAATAATGTCACTTAGTTTTCTAAGTGGGATTAGTAGGAAGGAGGGAATCAACATGCACTCAACACCTTCTGTGTACCAAACCAAAAAACCAAACCTACTGCCATCGACTTGATTCTGACTCATAGTGACCCCCATAGGGTTTTCAAGGCTGTAAATCTTTACAGAAGGAGACTGTCTCATCTTTCTCCTACAGAGCAGCTGGTGGATTAGAACCATGGACCTTTTGGTTAGCAGTTGAATGCTTTAACCACTACACCACCAGAGCTCCTTTTCCATGTACTAGGCATTTTATATCCATGTTATCTTATCTAACCCTCATAAAAATCCTGTAAGGTAAACATTAATATCCTACTATACACAAATGGGGCTCAGAGAGGTTAGGTAACTTCCTTAAGATCACAGTACTAGTAAGTAGTGGGATGTCCTACACCCAAGCCTATCTGTGTTTCGAGGTGCCTGGGATGTGCTCAGCTCTGTCGTGCCCAGGTCTGAGGGCCCCTGTTCTGGGGCAGCCTCCCCACCTCCCACCCCTCCTCTCTCAGTCCTGCTCTCCTGGCTACTGCCTGGGAGCTCTCAGGCCACAAGTATATCTTCCCTCCTCCTAGCCCCACTGCCCAGGGCACCTAAGAGCTCCCAGCAGTGCAGGAGGTGATGGCTCTGATAGCATTCAACAGGCAAGAATAGGGGTTTGCAAGCCAGGATGATGGCTCAGGCGGCCACGAAAGAGGGAGCAGCCGGGCTGGGCTTGCAGGCGGTGTGAGGCTTGGGAAGGGAGAGGAAGGTGTTGTGGTCTCCTTGTGGCAGGGTTGGACCCACCTGCAAGAAATCAGTGAGTGTTATACCTGGCCCTTTCCTGCACATGTAGTTCTGGTGGCTGTGGCAGCCTGCACACCCTGAGGCTCAGGGCAGTATGTGTGTGTGGGGGTGCAACCACACCCTCACACACCCCTCAGGGCTGGCATTAATTAGGAGCCCTTTTCCAGAGACAGCTAATCTTTTTTTTTGTGTGTGTCCCCCATAAGAAATATTACCTTAAAATGTAATTTAAGATGGAAAAATAACACTGAAGTGAATGAATTTAGGTCAAAACAACTATGTTATCAAACATTTGAGGCTTTCATCAGGAAAAGAGATACGGAGTGGGTAAAGGACCACTCCGGTCATCTGTCCACCTCCTCAGAGCAGTGCTACAGTAACCGTGAGATGTGTGCGACTTGGTGGCAACTTTAGCAGAAACCATGCTCCTCCCGGCCTCCATTCCAGACTCACTACCCTCCTGACCTATGACTGTTATCATCATTTTAGATCACTCCCTGCCACTGTTATGAGGCTTAAAGGTGACAATATATGTTAAGAGCTTCATAAATTGTCAAGTGATGTTCAGACACAAATAACTCACATTTATACGTACGTGCATATACACACAAGTATGCATACACAAATTTTAAGTGTTGCTGTTATTATCAGACCATTAGCTACACAAAGAGTTCATATTTTGTTCTGACTCCTTAAAGTACAGCTCTTATTGTTGTTTTTAACTGCCACTGAAGTCTCCCCCACCCCTGAAACATGGAGACTCCATGCACAACGGCATGAAATGCTGCTTGATCCTGCGCCATCCCCAGACTGGATGCGGATCAGATCAGTGCGATCCGTAAGGTTTTCAGTGGCTGATTTTCAGATTACCAGGCCTTTCTTCCTAGTCCACCTTAGTCTAGAAGCTCCACTAAAACCTGTTCAGCATCCAGCAACATGAAAGCCTCCCTGACGTGGCTGCACATTAAGTCCACTGGCTGACAACCGAACCTAGGTCTTTTGCATAGAAGGTGAGGATTCTACCAGTGAACCACTAGTGCCTCAAGCAGCCCTTATTAAACAAGCAAACAAAATCTCTTTGCAATCAAGTCAATTCTAAGTCATACTGACTGTATAGGACAGAGTAGAACTGCCACAGGGTTTCCAAGACTGTCATCTTTATAGGTGAAAGGTGAAAGGATACAACCCTGACGTATACCCTTCCTGATTTTAAACCACACAGTATCCTCTTGTTCATACTTATTCAATCTGTACAATGAGCAAATAATCCAATAAGCTAGATATATGAAGAACGCAGCATCTGGATTGGAGGAAGAATCATCAACAACCTGTGATATGCAGATGACACAACCCTGCTTGCTGAAAATGAAGACGACTTGAAGCACTTACTGATGACTACAGTCTTCAGTATGGATTACACCTCAACATAAAGAAAGCAAAAATCCTTACAACTTGACCGGTAAGCAATATCATGATAAATGGGAAGACAGAATTTTTCAGAGATTTCATCTTACTTGGACCCATAATCAACATCCAAGGAAGCAGCAAAGAAATCCAACATCATACTGCACTGCAAAGCTTCTGCAAAACATCTCTTTAAAGTTTAAGAAGCAAAGATGTCACTTTGAAGACTAAGGTGCACCTAACCCAAGCCATAGTAATTTTCAATCACCTCACATGCATGTGAAAGCTGGATAGTGAATAAGGCAGAACGAAGAAAAGGTGACGCTTTTGAATCATGGTGCTGGCGAAGAATACTGACAATCATGGATTGCCAGGAGAGTGAACAAATCTGTCCTGGAGGAAGTGTAGCCATGATGCTCCTTGGAAGTAAAGATAACCAGACTGTGTCTCACCTATTTGGTCATGTGGTCAGAAGAGACCAGTCCCTGGAGAAGGACGTCATGCTTGGTAAAGTAGAGGGCCATCGGAAAAGAGGAAGAGCCTCAACAGGATGGATTGACATCAGGGCTGCAACGATGCGCTCAAGTATAGCAAGGACTGGGAGGATGGCGCGTGACCGGGCAGTGCTTCATTCTGTTGTATGTAAGAGGTTGCTACGAGTCAGAGCTGACTCAATGGTACGTAACAACAACAATGAATCTCTGCAGGAGGACACTGCCACATCCTTCTTCTGGGGAACAGCTGGTGGATTTGAACTGCTGACTTTCTGGTTAACAGCCACACACTTGACCTCTATACCACCAGGGCTACAACCCTTATGGGAGTTCCTAAATTCTTGATTTTAATGAGAATTCTTTTAAAGACTTGTAAAGTCCTGTTAGAGGACATTTAGTAGATGCTTCCTGTAGACTTCAGCTTGGGTTGCAATCGGGGACCCAAACCAAAAAACAAACCCACTGCCATCAAGTTGATTCCGACTCATAGCGACCCCCACTGGGCTTCCAAGGTGGTAAATCTTTACGGAAGTAGACTGTCCCGTCTTCCTTCTGTGGAGTGGCTGGTAGGTTTGGACTACCAACCTTCTGATTAGCAGTCAAATTCCTTAGGCACTGTACCACCAGAGCTCAGGGACAGTATCCAACAGTTCCCATATCTATTCCAAACTTCCAAACAAACATTTGGTCTGGTCTGGACTCAAGGGGTGAGAGCTTTGCTCTTCCTTCATGGGGCAGCTCTCTAAAAGCAAGCTCAGGTCTCTGGACTGCCTCTGCTCTATCTCTAGAAGGAATGCTTGTGTCTGTGGGCTATCCCGGGTTCCCAGCTGTTATTCTCTGTCACTCACAGCAGAAGGTTCTACAAACACAAGGCAGTTGGAGAGAGAAAAATCTCTGAGAGTGTAAAAATACGTCTGCGTGTTTCCTGGACAGGACTCAGGATTCAGGAGTCTCTTCAGTCTCTCACTCCCACCTCCTCCCAAACAACGAGATTCCTGAGTCTGTCTGAGGGCTGTGTGTCAAGAGCCAGGCTGCTACCTTAGCAAACTTGGCACCTTCTCTCCAGCAAGTGGAAGCTGGTACTGATCCCAGCACAGAGGAAGGATGAAGAACCCCAAACTCTTTCAGTCTGTAGCATAGTGGCTAAGACACTTGCCTGCTAACCAGATGGCTGGCGGTTCAAACCCACCAGCCACTCCTCGGAAGGAAGGTTGGGCAATCCTACTTCCGTAGTGATACTGCCTCGGAAACCCAAGGAGGGGTCGCTATGAGTCGGGGCCGACTCGACGGCACATAACAACAACAACAACAACATGCCTTCAGCAAGAGCTGCTGCTGCCGCCCCCTGCTCTGAGTGCCGAATGCTTGTGTCTCCAGCTGCAACTAGAAGTCAGCTGAAAGGCCACAGGTGGCTGTCCGTGCCAGTGGGGGAAGGAGGCCGCACTGTAATCACTTTAACAGCTGCTGCCGCCAGCACCCATTAACTCAGACAGTCTGGAAAACTTGGGGCAGGTGGTGACAGCTATCAACTTTGCCACAGACAAACTGAGGTTTTTGTGGATGCCTATTCAAGACATCCTAGGTCCTTATATCCAGACAAGTGAAAAACTCCTGTCAGTGTAAATGCTCAATTATTCAATTTCTGGGTGGATATAGGAAAAACCACAATATGCAAGAAAGTAAGACTTTAAAAAGGAATCTTAACAAACATTATTTCCTTATCAATCCTCAATTCTAACTGCATTCTAGATGCTACTAATCTAGCCCTTCATTCAGCAAGCTGTTTGTTGTTTCGTGTTGTATAAGCATTGAACTAAATCACCAGGGAATCTAAGAAATGCTTTAAGAACATTGTGGTGTTAGCAACAATTGCCAAGGAAACTGGAGTACGGAGTGCTTAGGTTATGGCAGGGTAAGCAAAGAACAAATTAATTTCAAAGCTGCCTCCATTAATGTCTAAATATGCACTTAAAAACATACATTTTTAAGTAAACAAAATTAAATTAGGATAGAATCAAATTAAAACCTAATTTAATGGAAGATTAGCTGTTCCTTGTTAGCACTGATTACCAACAAAAACCAAACCCACTGCCTTTGAGTTGATTCAGCATTGATCACAGGATACACTTAATTATGCAAAAGATTTTTAATAGATGCCTTGGAGCCATTTGTTCAATGTGCTAAGTTTAAAAGCAAGTTTGGCTAATAGCCTTCTACCTCCACAGTTCCCAAAACACTTCAGTGTCATTGCTGGTGCATTCAATTTGCAGACTCATGGAGCTGGAAAGGACCCCAGAGATCAGACAATTTGGCCCTCCCATTTTATAGATGGAAAAACCAAGGCCCCAAGAGAGGCTAAGTGAACGTTCTAAGGCCACGTAACTATTTAGTAAAAGAGTCAGGCCAAAGATTGATTCCCAAACTAATCTCCTTCCCTCCACACCATGCTATTTTAATTTCCTAAGAACAAGTATGTTTCTAAGTAAATATTAGGGCATTTTTTAAAATTCAAAAAAACCTATTTAGGGAAATAAAGACTTCTAAAACTGCTCCAAGTCCCTTGATTTCTGACTTCCCTTTTAATACTGTATTTAAAGAAGATTTGTTTTTAATGAAGTGTATTATCCCACTGTATCAACTTGGATGAACTCATCATTAAGATGATACACTGCTTTCTTCTTCCACTCACTTGTACTATCGCAGAGTTGAGAAGCAGAAGGGTAGAGCACCAGTCTAGGCCAATTCTGAGATGGAGGGGACATACATGGGTGATGGGGCACTGACCAAGAACACAGCACCCACGTTCTGCCTGGGCTTCTCCTTAACTGCTTCAAAACACAACACCCTCGTTCTGAGATGCAACAGCCCTGTTGTGGAATCCCTGAGGCAGGAATAACATTTTTCATCCTGAACCCTGAACCACCTGGTTTCCTTCTGCTCATTGTTACTGTACTGCTCAAATGACTGGCTTTTAGCAGCCTCTTCAAACAGCAGGGGCTTGTGAGATTTATTGATTGATTTTCCTTTTAGTGGCAGGGATGAGGGAGTGAATTAGTCATAACACAGACTTTACCAGCTCTAATAACAAAGTCATACAGGTGCCAGCTGAGGAGTTTTCGCTTCCATGCTAACTAGTTACTTTGGACCCAAGCCAGTTTCCTAATTTGACTTTCAACGTAGCTTTTTGCATGACTCTGTCTAACTGAATGGCAGAGCAGGGAGAAAGATTTCTCCCAACATTGAACAGTGACTAATAGAACATTTGTACCGAAGCCATGCACCTAACGTAGGTACGTGCCATCCATCCCAAGATGGTCCCAGGGGATGTATGTTGTCGTTGCTGTTGCTATCTGATGTTGAGGTGGCCTCTAACTCATGGTGACCCATGCACAACAGAATGATACCCTGCTGGGTCCTGCATCATCCCCCTGACCAGGTGAGGCTTGGACCACAGTGGTCACAGGGTTTGAACTGGCTGATTTTCAGAAGTGGCTCATCAGGCCTTTCTTCTCAGCCTTTATTAGTCTAGGGCTGCACTGAAACCTGCGCAGCATCAGAGAAACATACAAGCCTCCTTTGGCAGATGAGTGGTGGCTGGGCACGAAGTGCCTTGGCCAGGATTCGAACCTAAGTCTCCTGCATGGAAGACGGGGATTCTAGCACTGAATCCCTACAGCCCTGTTTAGAAGATAATGTATGTTTTAAAAAATATGTAACACTTCAACAATGGACATTAGCTGTTTGGCACGATCTTTCTCTCTGGAAAAATGTCAGTGATGAGACTCAGTGTCCTGCCTCCCGTCCCTGCTCCCAGATCTGTTCTCACTCTGCTCTCCACTTCTACTGGAGCAACACCTGTAATCTAGGATTAAGCCCCAATCACCATTCCATCGCTGGATAAACTCTGCCCTCCACATCAGCACCTCCCAGGCTCAAAGGAGAAGCCACACCAGGGTCCTGCCGGCAGCCAAAGCACGTGGGCTGCAGAAGCGCTGATGCAAGTGAACTGGGTGCACAAAAACTCTGCAGGGCCCTCCACTCCAGCTGTCTGCCTGCACACCCGAGAAAGCCACAGCAGCCCTTCCTCGGCCCCCTCTCCAGCAGGAAGCACCCCCCGTCCCCAACACTGCCTACTAGTCCAGGGCTGCCATGAAGATTCAAGGAGATCAAGTATATGAGCATTTTTCTCCACTCAAGAAGGGCCTGGCTGGCTGGCACTGCAGATGAGGGGCAGGGTGGAGAGGCCCAAAGTAGAAGAGGAACATCTGCTGGTGGGGGCGAGGGTGGGTGCACAGGACTCGGCGGACAGCTCAGTACTTGCTGTCGCCAGAAAGATGCCCAGCCAGCACTTTCCTATCCTGAGGGAGAAGTGACGCACCCTCAGGCCCAAGGGCGTGTTCACAACTATTCAAGTTTCCTCAGCAGCTAGCTGTGAAGTGATGTCATAGCCTTCTCGTAAGCACTGGTGTCCCTGCTGTGGAAAATGAAGTCCAGGACAGGAAACTACAGTGCGTTTCTGGGGAGAAACCTGAGAAAATGAGTGGAATGAGTGGCTCTTCTTCCATTAAGCGGCAGCTTTCAAAACAAGAAAGCACAAATAGGAAGCCACCAAGGGGAAAAGAACTGAAATAAACACACACGTTGGGCTTGGCAATCTACTTTTGAAAATCAGTGGATGAAAACTTTGACTCACCATGGTCTGATTAATAACCAACCATAGGGATGGCATAAGGAGCTCTGGTGGTGTACTGGATAAGGCATTTGGCTGCTAACTAAAAGGTCAGCAGTTCAAATCCACCAGCTGCTGTGTGGAAGGAAATGGGGCAATCTACCTCCATAAATATTTATAGCCTCGGAAACCCAATGGGGGTCACCATGAGTTGAAATCGATTTGATGGCAGTGAGTTTTTTTTTTTTTTGGGGGGGGGGGGAGGGAATGGCATAGGACCGGGAAGTGTTTCATTTCATTGTGCATGGGGTGGCCATGAGATGGGGTCTGACTTGATGGTAGCTAACAACAGCAGCAAATAATTGAGACTGAATGGTCTTCTATTATTCCTAATGGTCCTCAGAGTTGGGGTTCTGAACTAAGAGTATGTTCCCTAATCCCTGGGGATCAGACTATCATTTTTAATTTAACTCTGTACATCAAGAACTTAAGAAAAAAAAAAAAAAAGAATTTTGCTACCACTGTGTACTATAAATGGTTTACACATACTTAAGTGAAATACTGAAATATTACCTCCGTAGAGGGGCATTCTCTTCAATATCTTCTAGTGTCTCCAAGGAAGATCTCTGGGAGATAAGGCGACGTCTATAGAGAAAGGAAAAAAAGTAGGAGTTAGAAGTAAATTTAAAAATTCTCACCCATTTCTGAAAATCTAAAGCTGTTCTAGAAAGTAAAGGCCATTAAAGCAAATGAGCAGACAGAAGCTGTCTTTAAGAGGATACCATGTTCCCACTGCACAGTTACCACCAGGGTGAAACCTAAGCCTCTCCCCAGGTGATTAAGGGAGTTACTGGCCCTTTTTATGCTGCAATCTCCTCAGAAGACAAAAAAAGTCAAGGTGTCTCTTATAAATTGTGTATGCAGTATAACTTGGGCACTGGGTATAGTTTCCTTAAATCATTGGACAACACTGAACATGAACATGGTTTTAAAATACAGTATTTCTTTAACAGTTTACCTGATTCAGATTTATATTTAAATACTATAAATCTGAATCAGGTAAACTGTTAAAGAAATATTGTATTTTAAAACCATGTTCATTAAAGTCCTCAAAATCACTAGGAGACAATAAAAAATAAAGTTATATGATATCCCCCACGATCAATACACAACCTTGTTTTATGTGTTTCTATTCAAACACATCTTATTTAGAGTATGTTGTGCATTTATTAAGACTGAATTCACAGCCAACAGCATTCTAACTCATGCCTGAATGAAGCTTATCTAGCACACGTGTTTTCTCCATGGGCCACAACACAGCATTCTTGTGCTTAGTACATTAGACAATACTTCAGCACTACAATGGGGGCCATTTTAAATTGTGAAATCAATTAAAAAAAAAAAAGGCACAAAAATGTGGCACTAAATAGGCTGCAGAAGGGACACTTGTTTACAGTAAAAGGGCTGAAACAAGAAGGCAGACACCTGGTTTGACATCAGCTGGGAATGTGCCCATTGAGCAACTCAAAGTATTCATATATCCATGAATGACCAAGAAAGCGCCACCCTTCATATTGATTTGGGGTTACAAATACATTTCATCAAGTAGGTGAATTCATAAGTACAAGATCTGTGAATAACAGAGATTGGCCATATAAAGCTGAATCAGGCTTGACTCTTGTCCTTAAGGAACCCATACTCATATGGGAACCCATGGACCATAGCCAAGGAACTCTACAAACAATCACTGAGCATCTCCGTTGTTGGGGGCTGCCCTACAGTGAGTGTAGCCCACTTCCACTGAAAAGGCCCAGAAAATCTCATGGTGAAAACAGGAAGTCCCCCAACAGACTTTCCAACATTCCAACCAGAAAAACAGGTCACCCTAGAAAAACAGTTCTGTTAACAAAAGCAACCATTTGACAATTTTCATGTCAAAAAGCTGCTATTGCCATGGAAAAGAGAGCTGCTTATTTGGAAACTAACCAAATTAGAATATGTTTTTCTATAAATTGATAAGGATTTGTTTTTAAACAGCCAGTACATGTAACATTCTCCCCCATGAGTCGAACAGGTGCAGATTAACACACACAGGCATTTAAGGTCAGGATTCCTTAAAGGAAAAAAATCCAAAACTCAAATGCCTATCTGTTTGTTAAAATTCAATGGAGTCCATGAATGAAACCAAGCAGGATATTCTTTAAGAAGGAAATCCAGAGCTTGGAAGGACTACTACCCCTCATCATAAAAAAAAAAAAAAAAAAATACACCTATCATTGGCACTATGAAGAGAAGAGGTCATGACTGCCTGCCTGCCTGCCTGCCTTCTCTCCTTCATTCCTTCCAATTCGATACACAACCTTGTTTTACATACGCTTGTATGCATCTGTGTCCCCTGTCACCTTGTTTGATTCTTCCCAGGTATGTAGTAATCTCCTCCCCTTGCCTTTGCTCCTTAGAAAGCCTGCAACAGAAAAGAAGGCAAAGGGCTGGAGGCCAACCTTAACAAACCACTTTTCACCCTGCAGGTGGCCTCATACACTAAGCCCATTCCTGTGCAAACTCCTTATCATGGGGCAAAGTTAACAAGCAGAGGTCTCTGCATATTTTAATAACTGACAAAGACCACATAATTTGGGACCAAAATAGCAAGCCACCTTATCACCCACAAGGAGCTCTGGGGGCATAGTGCCTAAGGCATCTGACTACTAACCAGAAGGCTGGTGGTTCAAACCCACCAGTCACTCCACGGAAGGAAGATGAGCAATCTACTTCTGTAACTATTTACTGCCTTGGAAACCCAATGGGAGTCGCTATGAGTTGGAATTGACTAGTAGCAGTGGGTTTAGTTTATTACCCATACAGACATTAAGTAAGAGATTGGCAGAGCTCAAAGCAAAAGGATTATGTGCTGGCATCATCAGATGGATGTGTCTGTGTTTAGTTCCCAGACAGAATGTATACTTGGGATCCCCATCTTGTCTCACAATCACTACCTGGGCCTGTCCACACTGGACCAGGAATCACAGACTCATTTCAGAACAGTATCCCTTGAGTGCTTAACTCCGCCCAAGCAAGGAAGTCATAATCCATGACAATGAGATTGTGTATCTGGATATAACTACTTGGTCCAAGTAATCCACTTATCATTAAGGACCAATGATCCATTGGCAGTGCAAGTCATTGTACAAGCTTGGGACCCAGGCTGGATCCCAGCGGTACAGTTATAATAAATCCACTTACAGGGAAAGCTTAAGGAAAGGAAAACCACACACAAGAAAAACATGACCGGGTTGACAGAGACAGGAAGAGTCAGGACCCAAAGCCAGGATTTCTAAACTTTCTTTTAGGCACAGAAGTGTCACTGGCCCTATTTTCAGGGCAGGACAGTGACCACTTATCCAGACTAACTGGCTGGGGGTGGGTGAGTGGGTGGAGCAGGCCAATAACCTGACCGTCCAGAAAGGCAGCAACTCTGAGAACCCAAAGACAGAGAGGGGCGAGGGAGCTGTGGTCAGAGCATCATCTTCGGCTCTCTTGGAAGAAGGCCCATTTCTTCTTAGAATGGTAAGCAAGTGCCATGGTGGGAAGGCAGATCTGGCAGGGAGAGTGGGACAAATGACAGGAAAGGCTTGGGAACACTCCACCAACATCCACTTCCAGTGCTCACTGGTATCTGCTGATCACTGAAGTTGGACAGGGTTATCATGGGGTCCAGATAGACAAGACAGTCAAGGCCAATCCCCTGATGGAATCACTGGGGGTACCAGCTCAGCCCGAGGCCAGTGTGAGGCAGAGGGCACTGCAGGGGAAGCTTGGTCCAGGAGTTAGGGCTAGCACGGGACATGGAAGCTGACCCCTCACCTCAGCTGGCTTCCTTGGTGTAAAGGAGGATGTTAGGTTAGATCAGGGGCTCTTAACCTGGTTGTACACTGGAATCCCCAGGGTGTGTTGAAAGTCACTATGGCCTGGGCTCTACTTCCAGGATTCTGATATGAAGGTCTAGGGATGACAGGCAAGGGGATTTGTCAAAGCCCCCAGGTGATCCTAAGGTACAGGAAGGTTGAGTACCACTGAATCAATCATCTCCAAGGTCCCGTCCAGACCAAGATCGGTGAGGATCTACCCCTACCATTCCAATCACTCACTTTACCATCCTGCATCAGCCAAGTAGGGATGGTGATGAATGATGATCATAACTAACCCTCAAATAATAAGTTGTCTCCTTTATCCTTGCATGAGAATCTTACATGGTTCAACTAGCAAAAGGAAAGGTGACTATTTAACCGGAAGCTTTAAGTTAGGGAAACAGCAAAAGATTTTCAAGTATAAACAGGCAGCCCATGTATATAATATACATATGTTGCATATATGTAGAACCAGAGTGAAGAACTAGTCCTGTTTTCCCTGGGAGCAGAATAGAAGATTTGAGAGCAGGAAGGGAACTTGGTGAACACTTAGTCCGACCATCTATGTGCTCACAAAAGATAACGTAATTTACAACGGAGCTTTGGTGTTTCCCAGGTAGGAAGGCAGGCCACTGGATGGGCCAGTTACCTCTTTGCAGGTGTACAGGATGTCAGGACACCTTGACACCTCACTGGCCAAAGTTATCACATCCCTGCAATTACAGGTGCCTGAAGGTCTGAGGTGATGATTACCACAGACCTGTGCAGACAGGTAGTATGAAAGAAAGAAAAAAAATCCAACCATAAAAAATAGCTTAATATAGTCACAAGATACCCACAAACTTATAATTTATTTGCTTTGTCACTTGTGTCTTTCTCCTACTGACCAAAGTGGACCCACACTAGACAGTCAGCTACTTAAGGGGAGGGACATGCTTTGCGCTTCTGCATACCCCAGTGGACAGGCCATGCTTAGCAAACAGTAGGCACTCACTCAAAGCTAATTAACAAATTCCCTCATCAGGGGGTGGGGATTGCTGGACTTTCCCAGAAATCTCCTGACCTTCCATTCCATGCTTTTCTATAACAATTACTAGGGGACCTTCTATACTCAATATAAGGAGTCCCTGGGCAATACAATGGTTAAGTGTTCAGCTACTAACTGAAATGCTGGTGATTTGAATCCACCCAGGGGTGACTTGAAAGAAAGGCCTGGTTATCTACATCCAAAAAGTCATAGCCACTGAAAACCCTATGGAGCACACACAGTCCTACTCTGATGCACACGGGGCACCATAAGTTGGAATTGATTCAACAGCAACCCATTTGTTTTTTCTCCTCTATTCAAAATAGGAATGTCCAGTCTGGTCAACAGAAGTCCAGAAATCATCCTCAGAAAAAGTTAAGCTTCTGAACCCCTCACATCAAGAAATTGAGACAGGTGGGAGACCCTCATCTAGCAGGAGGTGGGGTGGGGTGGAGACAGACTGTCCCCAAGCACAGCTGAGCATTCCATAAGTATAAGCTGTAACCTACTTAAAATGGGTTTCTTCTTTTGAGCCTACTTAAACATTCATTTTTCCAAATGGATTTTTTTTTTATTTTTTCGATGAGTATAAAAGGTATTTCAACTGTAAAGAATTCAGAAACATAATAGACACTGAAAAAAAGGTCCTGCAAAGCCCAGCACCCAGAGCATACAGCTGCAGGGTTGTGCATACTCTCAGACTCTTTCCT